CCTCCCCCTGACTCTGCCCGCCCCTCGGCCCTCCGCAGCCCTGACCTGCCCGCAGCACCGCGAGTACCGGGCCTGCGGCCCCGTGGAGGAGCCCACCTGCAAGTCCAGGTAGCTGGGAGGCGCGCGGGCGGGCGGGCGGGCGGGCGGGCGGTTGGGTGTGCCCGCCCCAGCGTCTCACCGCGCCCACCCCCAGCCCGGGTGAGCAGAACACCACGGTGGAGGGCTGCTTCTGCCCCGAGGGCACCACGAGCTACGCGCCCGGCTTCGACGTGTGCGTGGACACCTGCGGTAGGTGCCCGCCCGCGGCCCGCCCGCCCCGCGCGGCTCGGCTCGCTCCTCACAGGCCTCTCTCCTCCCCGCAGGCTGCGTGGGGCCCGACAACGTGCCCAGAGAGGTGGGTCCCCCCCGGAGCCCCGGCTTTCTGGAGGGAGGCTGGTGTGAGAATGCGAAGCGAGGGGGCGCGGCGCGGCCCCCGCTGGCAGGGCTGGTGGGGCGCGGCGCGCGCCCCCGCTCACCAGTCGCGCCCGCAGTTTGGGGAGCACTTCGAGTTCGACTGCAAGGACTGCGTCTGCCTGGAGGGCGGGAGCGGCATCGTCTGCCAGCCCAAGCGGTGCGGCCAGAAGTCCAGCCCCACGTGCTCGGAGGAGGGCACCTACCCGGTCATCGAGGTGGACCCCATGGACACCTGCTGCAACGTCACTACCTGCAGTAAGCCCTGGGGGCGCCGCCCCCCTCCGCCACCCCCCTACCGTGGCCAGGCTGGGGAGTGCCAGTGGCGACTGGGACCCCCCTCCCCACCTTCAGCCGGTGGTCAGCAGAGTGACCCCGCGGGTGGTGCGCCGACCGGGTCCCTGGCAGACCCTGCAGTGGGCCCCCCGGGCGCACTGGGGCGGTGGGGCTCTGCCTGGGGGCGCCCGGGTCACCTCCGTGTTCCCCTGCGCTCCAGAGTGTAACGTCAGCCTGTGCAAGTCGGAGCCGCACCCCTGCCCACTGGGCTTCGTGGCCAAGAGCGAGATGGTGCCTGGGAGGTGCTGTCCGGTCCACTCCTGCGGTGAGCGGCTGGCCAGCGGGAGGGCGGGCTGCGCGTCAGGGTGCGCGCTGAGGGTGCGCCCTCCGGGGTTCGGCCCCGGGCACCCCGGACGGGGGCCTGACCGCGCCCCCTGGTTTCTCCCCAGTGCCCAAGGGCGTGTGCGTCGTTGGCAACGCCGAGTACCAGGTGCGTTGGGCGGGAGGCGGGGCTCGCCGGGCGGGGGCGGGCCGTGGGCGGAGGCTCCGGCGCGCTCACACCGCCCCTCCCGCAGCCGGGCTCTCCAGTGTACGCCTCCAAGTGCCAGAACTGCCAGTGCACCAGCCAGCGCAACAGCACCACCCAGCTCAACATCATCTCCTGCAGTCACGTGCCCTGCACCACCACCTGCGACTTGGTGAGCGCCCCGCGCCGCCCCCCTCGTGCCCGCCCCCCGCCAGCCTCCCACCGCGCCGCCCCCACCTCGCTGCGCCTGCAGACCGTCGCCTCTGCCCGCAGGGCTTCGAGCTGGTGAATGTCCCCGGGGAGTGCTGCGGGAAGTGCCAGCAGACCCACTGTGTCATCAACCGGCCTGGCGGCCATCACCTCGTCCTGAAGGTGCGCTGGGCCCAGGGTGCTGACCGGCAGCCAGGCTGGGGTTCAAGAGGCGGGGCCCGCGAGGCAGAGTCCCAGCCCAGGGCTCGCAGCTCCTCCCCCAAGGCCGGCCCCTTGCTGCCCCTTCCCGAGGCTGTCAGAGTTCTGCCCAGGACTGCCTGGATCTGGTAGCGGCAGGGGCAGGACCTCTGCCCCCTGGGAGGGCGGCCTGGCCCCGGTCGGGGTGTGAGAACCCGGTCCCCAGCCAGCCTGTGGAGAGGCTGCGTGTGGCCGGCGGGTGGCTGCGCCTCTCACCACTGTGGCCCCCCCACTGTGCCCCCCCCCACAGCCTGGGGACATGGAGAGGCACCCAGGGAACAACTGCACCTTCTTCAGCTGCGTGAAGATCCACAACCAGCTCATCTCGTCCGTCTCCAACATCACCTGTCCCGACTTTGACCCCAGCGACTGCCTGCCCGTGAGCGGCCCAGGGCGCTGGCTGTGGCGGGGAGGGGCCGGGTGGGGCCTGGGCCACGGGGGCTCCTGCTCACCCCCTCTCTCTGCAGGGCTCCATCACCCTCATGCCCAACGGCTGCTGCAGGACCTGTGAGTACAGCGCAGTGGGGGGGGGCAGCCTGGGGGGTGTCTTGGGGCGCATCTGCAGGCCGCCCTCAGCGCTGGGAGCTCCGGGGCTCCAGCCGTGGGCCAGGCGGCAGGGCCCAACCCAGGGAAGGCAGAGGGGGGCCCCTGCGACGTGGAGAACTCCAGAGTGTCGCCCTCTCCCAGGCACCCATCGCAACGAGACCCGGGTCCCCTGCTCCACCATCCCGGTCACCAAGGAAATCGTGCACGCCGGCTGCGTGGCCAATGTCACCACCAACTACTGCGCCGGGTCCTGCGGCACCTTCGCCATGTGAGTCCAGCCCCAGGCCCTGGGCTTAAGGGCTGCAGCCCTGGCCCCGCCCTCCACACCCTGGCCCCGCCCTCCACACCCTGGCCCCGCCCCACACCCTGGCCCC